AAGAGTGTGACATTTCCCTTTCAGTCTGACAATGAGTCTCATGAATATTGGCAGCTTTCACATTTCCATTTGGAACCTCAATGGCTGAGAATTCCAGTTGGCATGCAGCAGGAAGGATGCCTGCATTCACGCTAAGGCTTGCGAGCCTTGTAGTAGTGGTTTTGGTCCATTCCATTTTTCTAAAGCACGTGATAAGCTTCAAATTAAAGAAATGGATAATCTGCCCTTCATAAAAAGGCCATCTAAAGTTATGTGATATATCTACTTTGAAATTCCCAGTATTCAAATTGAGCATTGAGCTTAATACGTGGGCCATTAATAAACTTCTGAGGTGCTAGGAAAATTTGCATTTTAAGCCAGAGTTTATATCTATGCACTGCCTGAACCCCAGCAGGCATGGAAAATACAGGCTACATAATTTATATCCTCATTTGGGGTATAACCATTGTAAGCAGACTTTCTTGGGTAGTGAGTACATGCATAAAACACCGAGGCGTGTGAATTGATCAGACAGTACTTACCGTGAACTTTTCCAATCCTGTGGCTCCTGCGTTACCAACAAATATCCCAGAGCCAGATTCAAATACCAAGGCTTGAGGTGACCTTTGAAACTGCACTTTTTGATATTCTTCGCAGTCCATGAACAAAGCAACATCATTTCCCTGAACAGTCACTGTAAACCTATTCCACCTGTTAGTCATCACTGGCACTTTAAATGAAGCAGCCTCTCGGGAGATATGGGAACCAGGCTCTGTGTAGTACATAATTATTCTCTGGGTGCTGTCATCAACTGGTGAAAGTCTCATTCCCAGGTAAATAGTTTTCTGGAAGGCATCTGTTATTGCAAATAGCACTCCTCCACGATCACTGTTTGGTTTCACTGTAACTACAATAGCAAAATTTGTATAGAAAGGTGATGGTATTATAGCACTTGTCAATCGACCGATGTTAGCATCTGGACCAAAGCTGTAAGCTGGAAACCCTCCATAGCCGGTGACAAAGTAGACGGAAGGAGGAAGAGGAACTCCTATTAACTCCGTCAGGTCAAGATGTCCTTTTGAGCCTCGTTCTGTAAAGTGTGTGAGAAAAACACAGGTGCACAGCCCATTTAATTAAAATGATTTAAGAAAGGCGATAAACACTGTAATGCAGCATTGTAATACCAGTAACATACTTCAGGCCCCAGTTCAGTTAGTGCTTAAACACATCTAGCTAAGTACACATGTCATTCTTTGTCCTTTGACTACTTGAGGTTACTCCTATACTAAAGAAAGGCGCATGTAAACATTTGGTGAAATTGAGTGGTAACAAGTAGTTCCTGCAACATATATTTTACTTCAGCTGTCCCTAAAAAAAGTGCTGAATGAGCTTGCTGAGTGCATTCAGTGAAGACTGAGCTACCTTTTGTTTTCGCAAATGAACTGTCATCCTTTATCCTCACAAAGTAAGAAGACAGCAAGATTTCTCTACAAAAAGCATGACACAGCTTCACAAATACAGGATAAAAATTACGGTGGATTTGCTTTAGCCCTTGCAGTTACCTGCTTCTACAACAGAGGTTAGATTTTATTTATGTCCTTACTTAGTTTTATCTTCTTAGTTGCACTATGTACTTAACAAATACTAGTCAGCAATCAAAATTCAGTTTTGAAATTAGAGTATTTTTGCTTTGATGAATGCACAAAATTAAGCATCTCTGCCAAACATGCCCAGAGAGACAACTCTTTCCTGGCAATGAAGAAGCAATGACAACAGCTAAGTATCTACACCCAATTTTAACTGGAGCCTTGGGAAGGCATACTCCAGCAGCACACCAGAAACAGAACTTCTACCATTTTTCTCCTTCTAAGAAGTAAAACCAAGCAAAATAATATACCATTTTTGATCATGAGTGATTCAGATCTGAAGCTCCACTCAAATCTGAAGCCTTTCCTCCCTTTGCAATCTCCTCTAACCTTATGTTAAGTTTCTCATTTTATCTAAAAGTCTCAATTCTTCTTACTCGTGTACATTTCCTCCCTTTCAAGAATATTTATGTTATGCAGAAGCAAACAAAATACTAGGGTATGTTTTAATGTAGATACATCATGTAAAACTATAATAACTCATAAACTCTACTTCATGACTAAGTAACTGATGGCTTTCTCTGCAGACATGAAAAAAGATCTCCATGATCCAAGAAAGTAAGATTTTTAAATCAGTTTCCTGATCAAATACATCCTAGTCTCTCTCTAAATTCTTCTTTTCTGAAAATCTTCAGATCCAGGGTAAAAGAGAATATGTATTTGGAACCACTGTTTTACAGTTCCTTTCATTATCTACCTCACACACCCATCTACCGTGGTTCTCAGATTAACTGCATCAGATAAAAAAATAGCGTGGAAAACAGACCTCTTGTGGTAGAACAGTACAGATGAAGCAAACAGTCCTGAAACCTCACTAAGAACAGATTGAATTTGTGTCTCATAGTTCACTCTTCCCCCTTCTACCACAGCAGGTGTAAATAATACATCTGGAAGAGTATCTGTGGTGGTGAGGTACTTCTTTGCACCTACACACAGCATCCACTAGGGCTTCCACTGCTGGTATTCCCAAAGCCCTTCCTTGTGATGACATCTCTGCATCAGGGAAGCTCCTTAAGATGATGTCCCCAGACAGCACTAAGCAAATTTAGCTTGCTCAATGATCACTTAGTTTTCAACACAACATGGGAAGAACTGATGCCACCTATAGTAGTCTAACACTGCAGATGTTTACAGGGGACAGGAGTTAAAACCAGCCCTTCTTCTTGTAAGTACCCTTGGGACAACAGATATGAGTCAGTCCCCAGAGCTGGTTTTGAAAAAGTACTTACAGAAGCTGAACACAAGCCCCCAGCCTGCCTAAAGGTAGGCAGTGGTGAGACGCAGGGAGTTGGCTCCTAGCTTAGCCTACCTGCCAATAACCAAGTCATGCCCAGATTCTGATGCGTTTCACCCTGATATGACCCGCATTTTACCAGCAGCCCATAAACTCCAGTCATGGGATAAGCTGAAGTTTTCTGGTTGCATATAAAAGCCACAGGATGTACACATGTAATTAAAAGCAACTTTTGCTTCAGAACTCATAACACCTGGTTTCCTAGGATCTATGTCCTGCATCATTATTTTCATTTCAGCTCCATACATCCTGCCAAACTGGAATACCTCAGGTGCTTCCTCATGTGCGTAGGCTCTATTTCTGTATCCAATACCCGTAGCACTCCAACATCCCTCCACTGGCCCAGTATATGCTAAAGGATGGTTCTAAGCTGCTTGTGTTTATATTGGCTGGCCAGTTCAGGCATGATAATTGGCCACGAAGAAGGAGAAATTGGATAATTAACCTCATAGCTCTCACCACACCTTTTTCTCATTAAGATACTGCTGTGCCACTCCCACATCATGAGGTTGGGGATTTCAAGAATATAACGGGATGGCTGCCCATTGAGTCCTCTGTTACAGGGCAAATAATGGGATGAAATTAAACTGAGAAATGGAGAAAATGCTCTTAATATGAGGAAAATCATACTGACAATGCCACCTCTTTGCCTACAATCTAATCCCTCAAGGGAGACAGTGACCTTCGCCCAGGCTACAGATTTGAAACAAAAATGTACAAAAGAATTAAAAATTACTGTAGATAATAATTTCAAAGTTATTGGTTATAAGATGACTTTTAATCTTTGTTCCATGATCTATAAGCATTCCAAAGTCCTTCATAATGTATATATTTGTGGAGTGTGTATCCATGAAGGATCTTTCAATTTTTAAACTTACTCAGTTACCAGAATTGTAATAGCTATATAGGCTGAATAAATCCAAATGGAATAGAAATGGAAAAGGCATGACAATCCATCTGAATACTGCAAAGAAAGTGAACTGAAAAGCTTTGCTTAAAAAACCTGATTAAAATCAGTCAAAATAAGTGAATCTTGCACTTTGCTCTGAAACCTGGCAAGCGGTTCTGATGAAGAGCTAGAGAGAGGTTCTTCAGCTGAAATATACTTGTTATCCATTATTCGTATGCAGTACCACCTGGGGCTATGTGTTGCAAAGTGGTTTCCATTGCCCCAGTTGCTTTGCAAAGAAATGGTAAAATGCTCTCCCTGTGCCAAAGATGTTATAGTCCAGTTGAAATAAATTCTTACTTATCATCTTCTCTGTACTTCATTTTCACACTTACTTGCTAAGGGAACTCATTAGTGGGAAAAAGTCTGATGTGCTCAATACAAAAACAATTTCCCTTACATATTTTTAGAAAGTACAGAAGCTATGTTTAGAAACAGTAAAACTAAACTCCTTATCCAGAAACTATTTCCCCTAGACACTTTTAAATGCTTCGCTTGACAGATTTTGACCCTTTGTAATAGTTTGAAAAGCAGACACGTTTTTTTCCTGCCCAAAGCTAATGATTATGTATCTAATATTGAGTCATGTTTTATATTCACGCATACATACATATAAAGGAACCAGAACTACAAATAAAAGGCATAACCCATTACTCAAGAGTAAAAAGGTAAGGAAAATAGTAACCTTGAAGGAGAATATAGGTTCTCTATGCAGATACCAAACCTACTTCCAAAGATCCATGGCAAAAATGACCTAGAAAGCAGATGGAGAATATCTAAGGTGGCTGGCAATGATCTTATCAGACTGGGATAGCGGGATGTATCCCAGAAGTGAATCTAATGAATAGAACTGTAATTTTTCCACTTCCCATTCTCAAAGGAAGATTTGGCAAATGCAAAAAAGCCTGTTAATTCTCCCCACACAGCATGTCGAGCTGCAGTCTAGCTGCAGTTTTCTAGTCACATACCAAACAGTAATATACAGAGCCCAAAAGAGTTGCTCTTTTAGCATTGGTTATGAGACAAATGAAACCTATTTGCAAAAGGTGGCAGGAAAAGACAGTAAAGAAGAATGAGAATTTTCATTTGAGTGAAACAAGTCAGAGGGCTCAGCAAATATCTGAACTTCAGTGAGACTAGGGTAGAAACTTGCAACTATCCACCACAGAAAAGCAAAACAAGAAGCTTCTAGCCAAATTCTGGATTTACAGCTCATCCCTGACACTTAATGGATTTATCAGGACCTACAGTTACAGTTAAGAGCAGAATATGGACTTACAGCCACAGGTTTTGTTCCCATTCAATTATCTCTGATAAATTCATGTCCCCCTGCTGCAGTTACGTTAAAATAAAAATGCCCTCTTATTCTCTTAAATCAAAAGGTAGATGCTATGTTATTTTAAGTACCTTTAAGTGCACTCTGTTCCACCAGTATAATTTTGTTTCAAACATATATTGCTACTAAGCCACTGGATATTGGGAAGCATGCAGAATTCATCCCGTTTATGTCCATGTTTCCTAGACCTGAGGCACTGGAAGGTGTTGTACAGAAGTAGCTTTAATATAAGCTATATTTTGCCTCAAAAAAAGAAAGCAGTAGAATACCATAAATTCGGATGGTATTTTTATAATTCTAGAGTTATGAGCTGTGCTATACTTTGCATTTGTTACCATTTGTTACTGTATGTTATATTTGAAATTGTTATAGAATTTGCAGATAGCTGGAGATTCCCTCTGATTAGCTCCAGAGACCAGTTGAGAAGTATCAGTGTGTTGTAAAAATTGTCTTGTAAATCAATATATGGATTGTTTCAAGACTGTGGATTACAAAGCTAGAGTTTTTTTCTTCTTTTAGTTATATTTTTGCATGTAATTACCTCACTGTTTCACTACTGAAAATAGTGTAACTGTAAAAACAACAAACCACCATTTTGGCATCAGAAGATACCTGGTTTCCCCATTGTGTCTTTAGCACAGCAATCATTAACAGTGGAAGATTATGAAGCTCAAAATGGACTGGAAAAAAAATGCAACACTCTTTAGAAACAGGTAGGAGGAAAAGTGTTTACTCATTAGACAGAAAAGGAGACCAGAAAGAAACATGATATAGACAGTAGAGGGGCAGCAGGTGGAGAAGTTCCTAAAATCTGAGTTACTGGTATAGAAATGGCATTGATGGGACCCATTTTGAAACTACAGTTGTGAAGTGACAGATATTGTGACTTAAGCTTTGGTGCTCATCTGACCCCAAATGGCACTACTTTTCTCCAGATCACTGTCAGGTATGTGTAGCACCAGAGAAACATACCTCACCTTCACTCTACATGAACTAGGCATGGTGGAATCACAAACCTGTGGGATCCAAAATACTTTTCCACTGATCCCAAAGGATGAAGTACAGAGGAAACAAAAATACCTACCTGTTTGGGGGTCTATTACATTTGCTTTAATTGTTAAAGCACAAAATCAATATTTATATATTATAAATGGGAATGGAGGCAGAGGCAGAGAAAGGCCCAGATTAATAATTTAGCTTACTATACCCATCTGTAACTTTTAGGTTAGGAGTCTTCTTTCAGATGCATCCCTTGTTTTTACAGAAAGAATGTAGAGAGTAACCAGTGACAACAAAAGGCAATTTGCTCCAACCTAACAGCCTCTGGATGCATGTCACTCTCTCACAATCCAGATGCACAGATTTGTCTCTTACTCTTAAAGGAACGAGACCTGAGTTCAAGTACATGGATGCAGACGAAGGACACGTCCAAAGGTCAGGCTGTATCAGTACTATATAACTGAGAGCAGTAGCAAAGATCCCTGAATCACTGAAAGAACACAGATGCAGGAAAAATGCCTGGTCAGTTTATGTTGGGCACAGAACCTAATGGGATCTACACTTTCTGGAACTCAGAGGACTGCTCTCTGGACTATGCATGCGCATGACCTCATACTGGCTGCTTCCTCCTCGTGCTTTTCCATGTAGAGCAAGGTAGTCCCAATGCTAGGCCTGATCCAAAACCATTGATGATTAGGCCTCATCAGACCAATGTCAGCCCACTGAAATTAGTGGAAAGACTCCTTGTGAACCTAGCAGGCTTTGCATCAGACAAACAGTGTCTTTATCACTGGATCCATGTACTTGTCTACCCATTTTAACAAGTGCAGGTGAAGTGACATATTATATATTACGTATGCCTTGTCATCAGTGTATGAAACTCCATTACCAAGACTGATTTACTGGCTTTTAAAAAAAAATGCTATCAGAAATGTAAATGTTTACATTAAAAGCTATTTTAGAAATACGACAACAGTCTGGACCTTTCTTACAAATAGTAATTATAAACCTGAGATCTTTGGACACCTGGAGTAGAGTATTTGTATTTCCTGTTATCTAACAGAGCTCATAGAAAACATGGAATACCCACAGCCTCTGTTTCTGGCTAATACACTGCATTTCCACACAACCTAACTTCTAAGGTGGTATAATGTATACTAGCATACAGGCTTTAAGAAACCTACTACAACAGAGTCAAAGGCTACAGGGTTACTGATAACGACACTGTGACAGTGTACTTTTGTCCTTGGTTTCACCACTAGAAAATACATCAGAATCAGAGCTGAAAGGCAAGGCTGTCATCCTTGACACAGACAGAATTATCCATCTTAGCCCCATTTTAAAACATACAGTTTCAAAGGCCCAGGTCTGAAAAAAAAAGAAAAGAAATTGATGTCAAGTCCTTTGAACAAAAGAAAATGATTAGCATTGTGTGGTGAGACCAACCCATGTTGCATTACTGCAAAATAAACACACTGCTGTTCTTTCCCATGCTCTAAGAAGATGCTTGAGCTGGACTATCTCAACTGCATGAATGCAAAGACTGAGACTGCACATAAAAGACTGTCATATTTGGCCCCAACCACTTAATTTTTAGCAGCAATACTTGTTCAGCTGATATTTTAAGGATTGTCACATTTATTTAATCCACCATGTTTTTAGCTAGAAATGCCTTTTAAAACAATTATTCAGGTACATCAGCTGCCACATTTAGACAAATTCTGCTCTAAGTTAATGAACCTTACCAGATACATAAGAGTCAGAATAACATGCTCAAGCAGACGCTATTTGCTAAATGTAAAAGGCCAGCCACCCTGTA